GAGACCCAGAGCTCCCGGCTGGCTGCATTTGGCCTTCGCCTGGGAAATCTGAGAGCACAATTCCAGGCGGCGAGGGAGGGAGGGTGGTGCGGGCCTGGCCGGACTGAGGATAAGCTGCTGGAGCCAGCCCCATCCTGTGGGACTGGAGCCACCGGTGTGGGTCCCCTGGCCTTCCTTCCCAGAAGGGAGCAGCTCCAGAGCCAAAGGCCCCCCCAAAGACACCGCACTCTCACCCCAACCCCACCACCAACATGGCTTTAACGTTCACTTTCTCTTCCTGTATTCATTTCCCTCTACGGAAAATGGAAACGGTATCTCCACCTCCCAGGCTTCGGGCAAAGATTGAATTAGATTCTTGACGGGGGAGGGGGGGGGGGACGAGGGGTGGGGTGTTTGGGGCGCTATCCCACAGTGCTTGGTGACTACTCCCAGCTCTGTGCTCGAGGCTTGCTCCTGTGGTGCTGAGGGGGCAGACTATGCAGTGCCCGGATCAAAGTGGGGTCAGCTGTGAGCCAGACGAGAAGCGCCTTAAGCCCTGGATGATCCCTCCTGCCTCAGTGAGGTACTTGAAGCCAGGGCCAGCACCAACAAGATCCGGGCAGAGTTTGCCCTCACAGCAGGAGACCAGAAGACAGTGGCAGGTGCTCGGATGGGCCTACCCTGCCCTAGGAGAGCCAGCTGGGACCACAACGGGTAAGGAGGAGCAATGGTGAGGAGTCAGGGAAAAGGGGGCAGGCAGAGAAGCAGGAAGGGGGCGTGCAGGAGGCGCTCAGCAAGCAGCAGCAGGGGAGCGACGGGCTTGTGCAGGCAGGCGGGGAGGCAGGGAGCTGGGGGACGCCTGGGCACAGAGCTGATGAGCCCCGAGGCAGAGCTGATGGCTGGAGAGGGGTCACAGAGACACCCCTCAGTGTGCAAAGGCAGACTTGGAGGCGTCCCAGCCCCCCACCCCCCCAGCCCCGCAACAGCACAGGGCTCAGCCTGCCAGAGCAGCAAGTTTCCTCGGGGGGGGGGGGGGGGGGGGGGAGGGGGGGGAGCTGAGAGAATCAAGAGAGGGAAGACGAGAAGGCCCGAGGGAATCCAACGCCTCCTGGGCTAGAGACCAGAAGCTCCTAATGCACCAAGCTCTGGTGGGGGCTCTTCCCTTCCCCAACCTGCTGCTTAATGGGCCCCGTGCAGGGCCCAGGGCTCCATTACCCCCCCTCCTGGGGGGCCATTACCAAGGCTGCCTTGGCTGCTGGCTTCCAGGGAGGCTCCCTCGGTGCTACTCCGTCTTCCAGACCCGGCTGCTACGGGTTCGTCAGGGGACTCCCTGGGCCTCAATTCCTGGCCAGATCAATGTTTCTAAATCTTTCAGCCTTGAAAAGTGTCTAATCTTTCAACAGTGTCTTAGCAGGAAATGCAGAGAAATTCAAAGACAAAAGCGAAGAAGTTGGAGTTGAAGTGGGGCGGGGCAGGGCTCCCCAGGCACCTCCGAGTAGCTGGGGGGTGACTCACCAGGGGGTTGGTGCCACTCAGCTTGATCCTTTCCCAGGGCTGGGGCTGAGTGGGTATGCGGACTAGGCCTCCAGCACCCCCTCCGCCCCGAGACACGAGACATGATGGTGAGACGGTAACACTGCTTACTGGGGCAGCTCAGGTTGAGGTGCCTGACAGGGGGGAAAGAATCTCGGGTCGGGGTAAGCGATTATTGCCATTGTGCAGATGAGGAAGCGGAGAGTAGAGGCGCAGAGAGGGGTGACAAGAGTGACAACAGGACTGTGGAGCTCAGGAGCAAGTGCTCTGCTCCAGGGCCTTGCTGGGCCACCAGGGGTGGAGGCCAGACTGTTTGAAGATGCAGTTGCTTTGGTTGTAGTGTTTGAGTCCAGGGGACATTTCCACCCCACCCCAATGGGACTCTTCTTTTGGGGGGACAGGAGTTGTCCTTACCTGGCAGTGCTCCTCAGAGTTTCCCTCTGGCATTGTGCTTAGGGGTCAGGGTGGTCCTCAGGGGCTATATGAGATGCTGGGATTGAACCTGGGTGGGCCGCATGCAAGGCAAGAGCCTTAACCCCTGGACTGTCTCTCCAGCTCTCCTGGGCCTGGACAGACAAATCAGGGGAAAAGTGAAAATGAATAACAGATATCCTGAGAGTTCATAAGGCTGTAATTGTGTTTTAGGGTAAAAAGAGCATATCTGGCCTGTTTCTTCTGTATTAAGGGACCTGGGCATCAAGGAGAGATTTTCCTATGGCCAGGAAGGAATGACTCTGAACAACCAGTGTTACTGCATGAGGCAGTGGGAGATGGGGCATGCTCACGGTCACAGAACCCAGGGATGCCCAACAGATGCCTTCTGGGTTAGAAAGGAAAGCTGATTGCTTCCTCCCTCCCCTCCCCTCATTTCCCCTCCCCTTCCCTCCCCTCCCCTCTTCGTCCCTCTCCTCCTCTTCCCTCCCTCCTTCCTTCCTTCCTTCCTTCCTTCCTTCCTTCCTTCCTTCCTTTCTTCTCTCCCTCTCTCCCTCCCTCCCTCCCTTCTATCCTTCTTTCCTTCCTTCCTTCCTTTCTTCTCTCCCTCTCTCCCTCCCTCCCTTCTATCCTTCTTTCCTTCCTTCCTTCCTTTCTTCTCTCCCTCTCTCCCTCCCTCCCTCCCTCCTTTCTATCCTTCTTTCCTTCCTTCCTTCCTTCTTTCCTTCCTTCCTTCCTTCTTTCCTTCCCTCCCTCCTCTCTCTCTCTCTCTCTTTCTTTCTTTCTTTCTTTCTTTCCTTCCTGTTTTTATTCTGTTTGAGGGTTCCACCTGGCAGTGCTGGGGGATGCATTCCCAGCAGGGCTTGGGGAGTTATGGGGTACTTAGAATGGAACCCAGACCCCCTGCATGCACTTAACCCATGGGACTATCTCTCTGACCCCTGGCGTCTTTTTCCAATTAGGAAAAAATCAAAAGGAGCTTTTTTTTTTATTATTGTGGTGCCAGAGACTGGACCCAGGGCCTCACACATGCAAGGCAAGTGTCCTAGCCCTGAGCTATGCACCTGGATCAAATAACCTGCATTCCTATGTCACAGTAACAGTTTCTTGGATTCTTGGGCTCTAGGTGGACTTGACCTTTAGTTCTCCTTACTAAGGTGACACTTCCAGCAAGAGGCCTAATCTGGGGATACTGAGAAAAGCCTCTCTGTGCCTTTGTAGGAGGCAGATCCCACAAAAGCCAGGGACCTGGACAGGAGCCGGAGCAGGGCTGAGTACTGCTTCCCATTCACTTTACCGGACGCTGAGACAAGGTCACAGTCTTTTAGCGTCTTCTTCTGACCACACATAGGCAGGCTCAGGGCTTACTCCTGGCTCTGTGCTCAGGGATCTATCCTGGAGATGCTCTGGGGACCATCTGTAGTGTGGGGGATTGAACCTAGGTTGGCAGGATGCAAGACAAGTGTCCTACCCACTGTACTTTCTCTCTGGCCCTTCTTTTTATTAATTTTTGAGCTATACCCAGTGGAGCCAAGGGCTGCTCCTATGTCTGTCCTCCGGCAGTTGCTCCCCAGCAGGGCTCGGGGGATGGAACCCAGGCCTCCTACACACACAGCACACACTCCAGCTCACTGAACTGTCTCCAACCCTGTTGGTTTTCTTCTAGACATAGTATCTCCATAGGGCAGTAATAGCCAAAGGATGAGGAACGAGGGCCTAACTGGTGCCAGGGGAACGTCCTCACATGGAGGTCAGAGGCCAGAGCCCCATAAGTAGCCCCCAGAACTTAGAAGCTGTGTGGCATTGCTTGGACAATAGGTGGAGGAGGTTGGACAAGGGGCCTTTGTGTCTCAGGGCGGAGGTCCCCAGCACAGAGGCGGTCTGGTCCCCAAGGCTGTGTGTTCACTCTGTTTCTGCTCCTGCAAGGCTGCACCCCCTGCCTTCCCAGGCCCTCTCGGGCCAGCTGCCAGCCCTGTCATTTGATGTGCTTGCTGCCTAGCACAGCAATGCCCGGGCAAGCTAGTTAACCACAGAAGGGGCCGCTTGTCCAAATATTGATTGTTCAAAGTCTCAGGTGGATGCACGGACACTGGCTGGTGGGGAACTCCAGAGCAAAGGAGGCTCCTAGAGGGGTACCGCGGGCCGAGTGTTTGCCTTGAACGTAGTGCACCTGGGTTTGATCCCGGCATCCCATATGGTACCCCCAGCACTGCCAGGAGTAATTCCTGAATGCAGAGTCAGGAGTAAGCCCTGAGCATTGCTGGGTGTGACTCAAAAAAGAAAGAAAAAACAAACAAACAAAAAAAAACCCTGGAGGTTCCTAGACGGACTGGACCGAACAGGAGCAAGGTCGCCCCGTGGGTGCTGAGGACAGGATGAGAGAGGGACATTCTCTCAGACATCTGTGCCTTCTTCACCAAGCAGCAGGATCCGGGGCGCAGTAGGACGGCCAGCCCCTCCCTGCGCACAGTCCCGGAGCGCGGGGTAGAGGAGCCGGGAGCCCGCGGGACTGTGAGTATCTGAAAAGTCTGGGCTAGACGCCGGCGGACCCGCGGCAGACGGCTGAACGGGCTGCAGCGCGCAGGCTTGGCACACGGGCCCCAGCACCCAGCACTGCCAGCAATGGCCCGGGAGCACCCAGCCCACAGTGGCCACCACTGGGTGTAGCCACAAAACAAAATAATGAAACAAAACAGGCAACTCAAGCGAAGCATCTTCAGAGGCTGCGGTCAGGGGCCGGGCTTCAGGGTTGAGAGAAAGCAAAGGGGGCTTAGGGGCGGTGCCACGCTCCCCCCCGGGAGCCGCGGACGGCGCCGGGAGGGGTCCGAAACCCCGGCGGTCTCCGGAGAAGTCCCGCGGCGGCCGGGGAGCCACAGGGCTCGGCCCGAGCTCCGGGGACCAGCGCCCCTGTCCCAGCAGCTCAGTCTCGGGGCCCCTCCCCGAGCACCCGCGGGGACGCGCTGACCCGCGAGCCTTGGGCGGGGAGCGGGCGGTGCCAGGGTCCCCAGGGCGCCCCGCCCCCTGAGCCCGCGGGTGGGGAGCGGGGCGCGGCGTGCCCGGCTCTGCACGTGGGTCCGGCGGCGGCGGCGGGCGCGGGCCGGGCGCCCCGGAGCACCGCGGGGCCCACGGCCGAGGAGGAGGTGCGGGCAGGGAGCCGGCGCGGGGGGCTCTCCGGTGGCCCGACGCGGTGCCCGCGGGAGCGCGTCCTCGGGTGAGTGTGACCGCCAGTGGCGGGGGCGCCCTGGTCGCTGGGTGAGTGCGCGCGTCCCCCGACCAGCCGTGTGGGTGTCGCGCGCTCTCTGGGGGGTGCGCTAGGTGACTTCCCGCAGCCGAGGCGTGGGGCGGCGGGGGTGGGGTGCCGGGGAGGCGCCCGAAGGACAGTTAAGCCTGGTCAGGGCACTTTGAAACTGGCAGGCGGTTGCTGGAGGACTGTCCGGAGGGAGACAGGCAGCGGCCCACTCACCTCTCCAGCTAGGGCTGCGCTGGGCGCGCTTGGGGTTCCCCAGAGCCAGCCCGGGAACCCGGAGATGTTGGGGGTTCGGATTTTCCGATTGGGGCCAGCAGCGACTCGTGTTGCGTCCCAGCTCCCCAGCGCCCGGGACTCTGGACCAAGCCTGGAATAACGGAGAGCTCTGGAAGGACAGCGTGGGGCCCGGGGAAGTCTCGGTTAACAGTGAGACAGGTGTGGGGAGAGACACGCGCTGAGAGGCTCTGGGACCCCAAAGACAGCACTGCCCCCGGGGCCCACACCTCTTCTCGGCCCGCCTGTGTTTTATAAAGGGAATGATCAGGATGAGGATATCGGGGTCCGGAGGCACCCACAGTGGCCTCCTCCTCAGAGACCCCCAGCATATTCACAGCTTAGAGATGAGCTGCTTTTGTTGTGTTTGTTTGGGCGGGCGGGTGGGGGTTACATCCAGGGTGCTCCAAGGTTATTCCTGGCACTATGCTCAGGGATCACTCCTGGAGGTTCTCTGCGGCGTGAATCAAACCCGGATCAGCAGAGTACAAGGCAAGCACCTGACTTATGTACTATCTCTCCAGCCTGCCTAACAGACCAGAACTTCTTCTTTAAAAAAAAATTCTTTTTTGAAAATATTTTTATTTTTGGGCTCACACTCAGAAATTATTCCTGGCGGTGTACAAGGAAGCATATGTGATGCTGGGATCGAACCTGGGTCGGCCACATGCAAGGCAAGCACCCTACCTGCTGTACTTCAGCCTCCAGACCTGAATTTCTCAAACCATGACTCATCACCCCATGTGGGCTTATATATGAAGGGGGGGGGGGGTTGCAATTAAAATAAATGTCTTGCGGGGCTGGAGCAATAGCACAGCGAGTAAGGCGTTTGCCTTGCACGCAGCCAACATGGCCGACACAGGTTTGATTCCCAGCATCCCATATGGTCCCCTGAGCACCGCCAGGAGCAATTCCTGAGTGCATGAGCCAGGAGTAACCCCTGAGCGTCGCCGGGTGTGACCCAAAAAGCAAAAAAATAAAAAAAATTAAAAAAATAAATGTCTTGGACAGAAAAATAGCACAAGAGGTAAGGTGCTTGCCTTGCATGCCACCAACCCCAGTTCATTCTCCAGGGCCCCAGGAGTGATCCCTGAGTGCAGATCCAGAAGTAAGGCCTGAGCACCACTGGCTATGGCCCAAAATCAAAAAAGAAAAGAAATGTATTATTTCCAATCAGGAAATGTTTGACTTGTAGGCCCATTTTATATAGCACTCTAATGGGGTCCAGGTAAAGGTGTTTTTTAGTGAAAAGGGGTACAAGTGGATAATGATGCAGAAATTCTGGTTTCAGGGTGGGGATGGGGGCCCTACTCAGCCCTCATCTCCCCCGGGCTAAGCCTCTGCAGAATTTCCTCCCTGAGCCCGGGACTCCAGCTCCAGGACTGCTCCTTGCCAACCAGCCCCTCCCACCTGCCCAGCTCATCACCCTCGAGAAGCCCCCCAGCTTCCCCACAGGCTGTCAAAATGCCCGCCTCCTTTCCCCTTCCTCAGCGGGAGGGCAGAGCTGCCCTGCTTTGGGGCTCAGCTCTCATACCCCCTCCACCAGGCGACCTTGCTAATCCCTGGGTATGGGAACCTCTCCTCGACTTTTACAGCCCCAGGCCAAGAGCTGTTCGCACCTCTGCCCCCTCTTTCCCTCTCCCCAACTCTGGAGTGCCTTGGAGGATGGAATTGGGGTTCCCTCATTCTGTATTGCCAGCAGCTTTTGCAGGGTGAGGCCTGAGAGCAGCAGTGACCCCTGCTCTCACCCCAAGGAGAGTGTCCGCAGTGGCATCTCTTATCACTACCAAGAAGCGGACATAAGAATCAGGCCACCCAATTGGGGGATGCGGTCAGAGCACTGTGCCAGAGGACCACAGGATTTGGAGCATGCAGGTCGTAAGCTCAGTCTCATCCTGCAGACGGAAGGGAGCCGGGCAGGGGAGCCGGCGTCCAAGAGTGTTTTAGACACTGACCGCAGAAACATCACGGTGTTGCGTGATCTCTGAGCCCCTCCTTACCTCCAAGACCAGATATTTCCTTGAACTCTGTGATGCTTCTCCTGGGAATTTGGAGGACGTTCAGGATTCCCCAGTGGCTTCCAGTGGGAGCCAGAGGCCTGTGATAGATCTCATCCCAGGTGTTCCCTCAATTTGCTGAGTGACCCTGGGGAAATTACAACATTTCATCTTTTGGGGAGCAGGGAGGGTGTTGCGCCATGCCCAGCCATGTTCAGGGGCGTCTCCTGGCTCTGGTTATCACTTCTGGTGGTGTCAGGGACCATGCATGGTGTGAGGGGACCAACCGGGACAGGCACATCCAAGTATTACCAGCTGCACTGTCTCCCTGGACCCCGTCCAGCTTACTTTATTTATTTTTTTAAGTAGAACAGGTTTTATTTGGAAAGGTCTTTTAGGGGGGTGGGGTGAGGGTGGGGGTCTGGGAGAATAACATGCTTAAGAGAGAACACAGGCTTCTCCCAAGTGAAGACAGTCCCCGTACACATCCTAGTGTTAGGGTATGACGGTTATGAAAGTGCACATCTCAAGAGGGGACATGCGGGCGACAGGGGCTCGGGCACCACATGTGCTCGGAAGCAACACAAGAGCTCGGGTGGCGTATGCCCCTTTCAACTTTTGAAAGGGCAAACTGGGGGCAGGGGATGTGACTCAGTGGTATAGTGCATGCCTTGTATGAGTGAGGCCCTGGGTCAGATTACCAGCACCACAAAATAAATAAATGAACTTAATGAAATTAATGGCCAGAATGGCCTTTGATGCAGCGCAGTGGTACGATGCGTGCCTTGCATTCTGAGGCTTTGGGTCTGATGCCAACACCGCCCCCACCCCAATAAAAATACATTGTAAATGGCAAGAACAAGTCAGGTCCGCGTCCAGAGGAGGCCCTGGCGAGGGCCCCAGTGAGGGGTTCATGCTGTGGCCCTCAAACTGGGGCACAATTCTCCTCCTCCTCCTCCTCCTCCTCCTCCTCCTCCTCCTCTTCCTCCTCCTCCTCCTCCTCTTCCTCCTCCTCCTCCTCCTCTTCCTCCTCCTCCTCTTCTTCTTCTTCTTCTTCTTCTTCTTCTTCTTCTTCTTCTCTTATCCTCTTCCTCCTCCTCCTCCTCCTCTTCCTCCTCCTCCTTCTCCTCCTCCTCCTCCTCCTCTTCCTCCTCCTTCTCCTCCTCCTCTTCCTCCTCCTCCTCCTCCTCTTCCTCCTCCTCCTCCTCCTCCTCTTCTTCTTCTTCTTCTTCTTCTTCTTCTTCTTCTTCTTCTTCTTCTTCTTCTTCTTCTTCTTCTTCTCTTATCCTCTTCCTCCTCCTCCTCCTCCTCCTCCTCCTCTTCTTCTTCTTCTTCTTCTTCTTCTTCTTCTTCTTCTTCTTCTTCTTCTTCTTCTTCTTCTTCTCTCCTCCTCTTCCTCCTCCTTCTCCTCCTTCTCCTCCTCCCTCGCCTCTCCCCCTCCTCCTCTTCATCCTCCACCCCTCCCCCACCTCTCCTCCTTCCTTCTCCCCCTCTTCCTCCACTTCCTCTATTGTCTTCTCCTCCACCACCTCCTCTTCTTCTCCTTCTCCTCTTTCTTTTTTGTCTGTTTTGTTTTTAGGCCACACCCAGCAGTGCCCAGGACTTACTCCTGGCTCTGTGTTCAGAAATCACTTCTGGTAGGCTCCGGGGACCATTTGTGGTGCCAGGGATCAAACCTAGATCAGCTGTGTGCGAAGGCAAGCTTCTTACCTGCCATACTATCTCTCCGGCCCCTACTGGGGCTTCTGAAGCCCAAGGAGCAGCTTCAGAGTGGGAGAGTGTGGTCAAAGACTTCGGCAACTCTGTGAAGGCAGTGCTGGGCCTCTTCCCTGGCTGTTGTCCTCCGGAGGGCTCACTGCCCCTCTCATACCAGCTTTGTCATCTGCACATTGGTTCTGATCATGCTAGCTTCTCCCGTGCAAGGCTCCAAGAAGCCTCCAGATGGTTCCCAGGATAGGGCTTTGCAAACTGTAAAGCGCCATGCGCAGGGGAGGAATGTGACTTTTGTGGACTTAAATGCATCTGAAGACAGTCATGGAGCACGATGTGGTCCTGACAACCCACCTGTGCCTCACTGTGGTCTTCCCCCAGCAGTGGGTAAGACAGTCAGTGCCAGGGAAGGGCTGCCTTGCAAGTGCAGTGAGAGGAGCTGGTGGACCTGCCTGGTGCCCCCAAGACCCAGACTTTTCCGCAGAGCAGTCTGAGCTGCCCGGTCACAAGGCTTCCCCTCACCTCTGTCCTGGCCTAGGGGTTAGAGGCTGTCAGGTCAGGTCAGGCCCACTTTCTCTGTGTGCCCATGCCACACAGTCCAGGGCAGCGGGGTCTGGGGACAGCTTGTGGTGCCAGAAGGAGGCCTTGCTCCCTCGAGGGCATGGGCACCTCACTCCCCTGCCCCCCTTCTTCTGGGGAGAGCCTGAGTCTGGGAGATGAGCTCCTGCTGGGCTGGTGGACAGCCAGGATCCCTGGGCACGCCTCTCCCTACCCCTGGGCCCCCGTCCCTGCCATTGCAGAGACTTGGGTGGGGGGTGCTGGCTGCCATCTGGGCCCACGCGGGGGCGAGAGGGCGCGGTTCCTCCCATTGTGCCTTGAGTCTGGCCGTGCTCACCCTCCCGCACACGCCTCCGCTCCATCCCCAGGGGCACCATCTTTGCAAAGGTCAGTTTTGACTGTGTCCTTTCTGCTCCCGTCCTGCCA